GATGAAGCACTTAAAAATTATTAGGATGTTGTTCCGCATAACTGTGAGTGGGATTAATTGGTTCTGAGGGAATGGCAGGGCGCTCAAGAATATCGACAGAAATTAGTAGCCCCGTGAACTTTTCCCTCGGCTCCGGGCAAGACGGCGCTCGAGCAAGAGAAAGCGGATGTTGTTATAAATCGCGGACGGTGTCGCGAGAGCTTTCGCAAAGAGATGTAGGAGTAGTTCAAAGTTACGAGTGGCGAACCGCTTATTCCCGACAGACAAAAGGTTTCCACCTTCGCGCCACCGTCAAATCCCCGCGAAGCCCCGGATATCCGGCGGTATACTTCACGGAATTTACTTTTAACGAAGTGGTGTCGCGCCGCCGCCGTCGTGTTTTCGGCGCGTAACTACCGACGTCATCGCACCTGTTTGTTCACCGCGGTAATTGCTTGCGCTTTTCGTAACGACAATCATTATTTTTGTAACCTGACGCAGCACATTTAAGTCAGATAATGATGGAATAGAGGCTATTTGAATAGCAACGATAATGCGAGCAATGTTAATAATGAATATTCAATAACGTCGATGATGTATACGATATAATATATGACACGTAATGTTAAATTTTGGAAAGTAAAAAGTAAAAAATGAACTTTCGGAATTGACATGTTAAAGTATTAAAAATTTTATGATATATACTTTTATTAAATATTAAATAGCTATGCGTCATTAATCAAAGGATAAAGCAGGATTAATTCTTAATTTTCCAATGAATATTTTTGACTAAATATTCCAGTATATATGTATATACAACTTATTTCGTACAATTCATACAGTTACAAAATTTTCTAGTAGGTAATATTTAGAAATTATTATTTGTAAGATAAAAATTTCCAATTAGCTGTAAAATCGCCGATAATGCGAAAACTTGGAAATTCCTGCGAAAATTTGAAAAAAAAAAAACATTCAACTGAAGAAAGAGATAAAACACGGGTTAAAACTAATTCACAGTACAATAAAAGTGGAGAAGAGAAATGGGAAACATCGAGATAACGTTCACGAGACAAACGAGAAAGGCGCGTCGAATTATGGATAGGCGAAAGGAACAACGAACGAGACGTAGAGAGAGAATGAGAAAGCGAGTCTGCGGCGTAAAATCCTCGCGAAGCCCTCGGATATCCGTCGGCTCCTTCACGGAATTTATTTTTAATGAAGTGGCGCTTTCGCACGCGCGCTGGTCCTCGCAAGATTTTCGGGAAACTTGCCACGAATCCTCAACGGCAACGTTCCTCCTCGAACTATTCTCTGTCCCTTTCCTTCTAATAAGAAGACACGGGGGAGCAAAACAAGGGTGGTAAAGCAAGGTTAAGAAAGAGGATCGGCCGAGGAACACAACGGTGAACGTAAGGGTAGCCTCCATGCTTTTCCCCTTTTTCGGGAAGTCCCTTTTCCAGGAACACAAGACAACGCGCGTGCATGGCCAGGATAGTTTCGCGAGTTTCGAGAGGTCGTAGGTGTGCGATACGTCGGGAAACGGAGTCGGAGGGATGGTGGATAATATAATGATGGCGTCGGCTGGGCGAGGAGGGGCGGGGCTACGAGGGGATCAATATTATCCTTCTCCACCTCCACCTCCGTTTCCTCGTCTATGCGTCTCTCTTTCGCTCTCACTCTCTCTTTCACTCTCTGTCTCTCCCTGTCTCTCTACACCCACGACTAACCTTCCCTCAGACTCCCCCTCGAGTTTCCCCTCCGGCGCGGCCACCATCGCCATCTCCACCCTACGAATGTCAGGTTTCTCTCCCTTCTACCGTCTCCTCTACAGCCTCCTCCTTTAGCTCGTCCTTCGGTTTCTCTCTCCTTCCTCCTTCATCTCGTAAAGGATGCGAACTCGTACGAATTCACGCGAACGTTTCGCACGGAATGAACGAGATCGTTAATCTAGACGTAGAAAAACGTAAAGAAATTGCACGCTAGGTCGAGAGATTTATATTTTTGGTGTTTACGTGTCGCAAATGGTACTTAAAAATTTCTTACACGTTATAACATGCTAATGTGGAGTGAAAGAATGTTATATAGGCTCTTATATTATAATTTGTACTTGAATATAATTTATTATCGATAAGGCTTGTCAATCCAGATTTATGTATATGTATAGATTTGTGGCGAATGCGGCCATTTGCTTTCGACTCTGACAGTCGATATTCACTATAATTTTTGTTCTAAAATATACGATATGTACATACATGAAGGCTATTCTGAGGCTACTGATCTATTTGACAAAAAATATTTTACGGAAAGAGACGGGAAGTAGCTATTTATTTTATATAAATTTTATATAAGTCGAAAGGTGAACACAATAGATATAAATTGGTATTTTAAAAGTGAATTTTATCAATAAACAGCAATTTCAAGCTTCGAGAATTTAATTGTAAATTTATTGCGGGCGTATTTGTAAACAACGCTATAAATTGGTGCTATAAAACGATGCCTCGGTCCGATAGGATATCGTTTGAAAACCGTTCCGCTTAAATAGGCCTTACTCAAGAGCCGGGCTCCAGTAAGACTCTCGGCTGTAAGACTCTCTTGACCGAGGAACTAACGGCGCAGCGTGGCGCGCAACTTCTGAGCGCAATGGAACAAATCGCGGTTACCCGGAAAGCCCGGAGCCCGATGTTAAGTCACGGGATTACCGCGGACGGGCCGGTGCGGTGTTCGAGGGTGTCTATGTAGCACGTAGACGTATGTGCGGCGCGGAAGACGACTGTAGGAGGGAAGAGCGACGCCGACGATGGAATGGGACAGGACAGGAGGGGCCGTAGGGGGTGTGATTGATGAGGCATCCCCGGTCACGGTCTCATTACATTTATATAAGCTTTCGTAGATTGAGCCGAACGTGCGCGCGACCGGGAGGAAGAAAGAGAGCGAATGGAGGCTTACACGGTGGCGAGGGGTCGTGATTTGATGAGATTTTATTGCCCGAATGATGTGACGCGACCATTGTTCTCCGAGTTGGTTGCCAGGCGGAAAACAATGGATTCGATTTATCGCGTCAACTGGACTACCCCCGAAATCGTACACGTCGACGTTTCCAACGTCATCGAGAATCGATCCGAAGCACTTTAATAACATATAATTTTTAGCTCATTAAAAATTACCAATAACTGCGGCAAACGCGCAGCTTTGCGTGAAAACAGATTTTATGTATCGCAGCTCGTTGCGTCAATATTTTGTGGATATTCGTCAAATTGGATTGGAAATAGCTATTAATGAGATTAACATAATATACCGATTAATTATGTCATAAATTATTATTGGAATGCGATACGCGTTGTTGATATATTTATGTCACAAACGCGATTCCTCTCACGATTCGCAGATCATTTGGTCAATAGCTGATGGAATCCAGTCAAACGATAGAGTTTTCACTCGAGTTTCGAGCGTACGTTTCGTTGACGAGTTTATGAATCAGCAGCATTAAGATTCTCCTGGTCATTCCAGATGGCTTCAGTCGAGATTTCGCGACGCTGTTAAACTTTATGGGTGCGGCATCTTGTGTGTACACGGTGCGCCTTTGCGCGAGAGAGTTTATTGATTCTCGAGTCGCGGCATCTTTCGCCCGCCGTACCATTCTGTCCTATCGAATTTACTCCCTCCTGGCTTATCGTCGTCGCCCGTAGTGTCGTGGCTACCGGGCCGCTTCGTAAAATCCAATGATGTTTCTCGTGCAGCTTACCGATGCGGAAAAAATACGCATCTATACGTAAATCTTCCGCGAGGATAGATCAAAGATTAACCATTCTTTATCGGCAAAAAAACGATAATATTATATTGATATCGCACCAACTGTGATATTAATGACAACAGGAATATATAATATAATAAAAACAATTGTTTCTTAAAGAAAATCGTTATAAAGTTATGTAAGTTAATTTATTAAAGCAAGAATTTATTAAAAAATTCCAACTATGTTTTATATATCTATCCGCCGTTATCGTCTCATTAAAATTATTCCGTTCGGTTATACAATGAAAATTACTAGCAAATTTGGACTGTTACGCGACGTTCCGAGAATAATCGTCGAGAGGAAGGAACATTATTCTTCATTAGCTAGTCTTCCGCTCCCACTTTCAATGACCCGTCGCGCCTCTTAGCGTTTCCACGGCGTGATCGTAAGGCCATCCATCTTACGGAGTATTCCGCCGACCTCCTTCAACATTGCTTCGCTTAGTATCCTTCCTTCCTTTCTTCCTATCTTGCTCCCCCTCGGCTACCATCTCCTCGTCGAATACTTACGCCACGACCCTTCGTATTTCGCATTTTCCCGCCCCCTTGCCTTACAGTTACGCGAGAGCGACGTGTATCTGAGCGCAACCACCCGTATAATTGTTCGGGGGTGAGCAGGGACGCAGGCGGGCGTCGTCGTCAAGAAAGAGAGACGACATAATCGAAGGACGTCGGGTAGGTAGGTAGGTTTGAAGGGCGAGAGAGCGAAGGGATGGGGGGGAGAGTGAAAACGGCTGACGAAGTTCGCCGTAGTATCGAGCGTGGGAGAAGGGCCGCCTTGAATTAACGCCGTCATATTTCAGGATGGAGGAGCTCGCCGGGGTTTTCTTGCTATTTGTCTCGAGATTCACCTACCGTCTGCCACGGAGCGGAACCGCCGCCCGTTGCTTTCTTCGTTGCGTTCGTGACTAATAACCTGTGTTGTGCGAACGCTCGCGAAATCTGGCGAAACACTACACGCATTGTTGTGCCTTCCCTCCTCTTCTCAATATACGAGCTATACATATACGTTAAAAACGAAATCTGGAGGGTATATAGCATTTGTATATCACAAAAGAATCACAGGGTCTCTTTTTTAAAATGCTGGTTATTCTAAAAATAGAAATAGGGAATATCGAAGAAAAGATATAACCGATATTCTTTTATTAAATTTCTCAAATAATATTCTATATATGTATTGTAGTTAATAGACACATTTTTCTCGCAACGCTCCGTTTTTCTGTTTCTAGGTCTGGTTCAAGAATAGGCGGGCGAAATGGCGGAAGAAGGAGCGTAACGCGATGAACGCCGCCGCGCAGGCCGCGGCGGATTTCAAGTCGGGCTTCAGTACAGCCAGCCTGAACGGTTTTATCGCCCAACCGTTCCCAGACCCCGACACCCTCTACAGCTCGTATAGCACGTACAACAATTGGGCCAAAGTGCCGTCGCCTTTGAGCGGCAAGAGTTTTCCCTGGATGAATACTCTGGGCTCAGTCGTGCCTGCAGCATCGCATCATCACCATCACGCTCAGGTCAGCCCAGTGAATCCCTTTAACGCCGCAGCGACGTCGGTCGCGGGCAGCCACGTGAGCGGCATGTCGGTTTCGGTCGGCCAGGCGGCCACGTCCATGTTACCGGGCATGGGTTCCGGTCTCGGTGTCGCGAGCTCGCCGGTCGCCGCGTCCGGCGCGGCGTGTCCGTACGCGGCGCCGGCGGCGCCGCATCATCCATATGGACCGCCGGTTTATACGCCCCACCATCGATCGCCCGAATCCTGCACGGTGATGACATCGAGTAGCATCGCTTCGCTACGAATGAAAGCGAAACAGCACAGCAGCGGTTACGGCGGCAGTGGCGGTGGTTCTTTCGCAGGCGGTACCACGGGCGGTACCACGGCCGGAAGTATAAGTCCCGTAAGCTCGAGAGCGTCCTCCGTTGGTGGTGGTGGCGGCAGTTTGAGCGCCTGTCAGTACGCGTTGACAACAGCGTCCGGAGCGAACCCTCACTCCCCGGGTGGTCCCGAGGCGCACGCCACCGCCAGGGCCCAAGTCTGAGGTGAAGCGGGGGCTACGTCTAGCCCCCATCATCACAACGTAGCGAATCCGAATTCCGGGAGTTCCCTCAGCGGCGGCGGTAATCAAGTGGTACCGCCGTCTGCCTCTGCGGCGGCCACGGTGTCAGGTCAGCCGAGCGACAATCAGCTCAGATCGCAAGAGTGACCCAGGCCTAGGTCCGCCGCCTCGCCGACGCTATCGTCGACGCCCTCGTCGACGACCTCGCATCCGCATTATCTCATGTACGATGAGGACGGGGCCGCGGCGGACCAAAAAATGGAAGTGGACGAGCGAGGTGTTATCGAGACAAGTAACATGGTGAATCCTGAACAGGTTGTAGCTGCCACCGCCGGTGGTATTGGCGTGGGAGTTGGTATCGGTGTAGGGGGACCGGGTACGGCCACTGGAAGTGGTACCGGACTGACTGGTTACTGGCAACATGCGACTACCGCTACCGGCTACTGGCCATCGTTATTCGACTGTTGGACGACGCCGCCGATCGCGTCCGGTTCGCAGACGCTGTCTCTGCCGCGGGATGACGATTGAGGCCAGTAGAATTTTATTGACCACTCACGTTGGCGTTGTCCTAATTCCCCCAATTTATCGCGATATCTCGTTTCGTTTCATTAAAATGTTTGATATCTTAGCGAATATAACTCGGAAATACCAGATTTATATCTCTGCCGAGAACCAAACGGAAATAATTTAGTTGTAGTATATTAAAAAATATATGTAACCAAAACGACTTCTTCACATGCCTTTATAGAACTTATAAAGGTACAAAATTATTTAAATTGTGTTAATCAGTAATCGATTGAAATTGAACATGTAATGCAAATTTTGTCGTAGAATTAGAAATATTTGGTTTTTACAAATTTTGAATTTCACTGACAACTAATAATCTTCGATTTTGGGATCTTCGCGAAAATTGAGGGTAAGGAAAAAGGGTAAAGAACTAGTGTCTATCACGATGAAAGAATTGACAGAACTTACAGTTGAAAATATTTGATTACATTGTAAATAACGATTATGCGAACAATTGACTACGTCGGGCACGATCGGCAAACTATAAGTTCAGTGAGTTCGGTGAAATCGCATTTATTCCTCGAGACAGATAACAGTTAATGGAGTACAAAAGTTAAACTTTCGCCGCGATAAAAAGTATGTTTAATCTCCCCACCCCTCATTTTCCTTTTAGGAATTTATTTTGACAAATATATTTATTTGTTCGAATACGATCCTGAATATGCATCGCGATAACAAAATAATATTATTTCGCTGAAAGAAACGAGAAGCATATTTCTTCGTGTGATGTAAATGCGCTAATTGTATGAAGCATGTTTTATTTAATAATTTTTTTTTTCGATACGATATAAAATGTGGGGTGGGGTTAATTTCTAAGAACGACGGCGCTAATAAAGATCCCGTGCGGATCACGTACTCACTATTCTGTAGATATATGTATAGTAGAACGCCGGCTCTTTATGCCGAGCGTAACTGTATACCAAAAAATTGTTACATTGTAATGACGATAATAACGATTATTCAGCAGAATATTAAAATATTATAGGCTGTAAGTAAACGGATTTATGCGTTGTACAGTGTATGGAACAAAGAGCATTCGATTAGGCGTACGTTATAAATCTGAATTAGTATTGTCGAATAATTACTAAAACAATATTCACAGTATCCTCGCGCGGCGCGTACAATTGGATTTTTCAAGTCCATCGATTTCTCTTTCTCTTCGTACTCTCTTATCGTTCCAACGACGGTGTTTATCTTATACGTATATACCCTTGATTGTGTAACTAGAGAGGCGTTAACATAACCAACGAAAATGTCCTATTTTTATAAGTAGCTTATTATTTGATAGACCACGCGTTGTGAGAAAACAAAACCAAAGTTAAACCCAAAAAATATCACGTATGTATAGTAATTATGCCGCGCGTCGAGGCCACGGAGATAATTGTATAAATTATTACGCATAACGGGGGAGTGTGGTGGTATGTCGGGGAGATTTTGACGGGGTGAAACGCGACGATGAGACACGAGGCGAACCGATCGACTTCGGAAGTCGACAGCGAGCGGCCGATATCGCCATAGAGCTCGAAGGCATAGTCATGTAAGATAGGCGTATAAGAAACGACCGCTATTTTGTATGAATCCCAATGTCGTACAAATGTTCGTCGTAATCACATATCCCAGTCCCTGCGGTGAGTGATTCGTAACGTCACGCAGAATGTTCTTCATTCCCGTTTGTCACCTCACTCGCTACGTGTAAACGTTCCTACTGGGCGATATTGAGCGCCGTAAAAGGCCCCGTTTGTAATCTAGTCACAATAAAAACCAATTCTATTCTAAAGCAACGCCTCGGAAACTATATCCCCTACCCGCGCGAGAATTCGCCGATAAGATTACGATTTTTATTCCGTGTGTCGACTCTTTTATAAACTATAGCTATTTCTTGATTATTTTAAGATTGGTCTCTTTACATTTAGTTAGTAAATGTCTCATAAAGTTAGATAAAAATTGTTATGTTCGCATCGAAGGTCAAAGCAGAGGTATGGAAATACATTTCTCTAATGCTTCGCGTGTTGTCATATTACGGAATAGGAGGCTTCATTTCAAATGGGGAGATGTTGGGCAATGAATGCCGATACATGATCGTGCTATTTATAGGTAGTTAGTTATGCGCCCCTCGGACATTGAGGGAGCATCGATAACCTACGCGGAGTTCACATGCATGCCGAGCGTGTAACGTATTGCATTACGGTGGTCGGGACGTGGCGATAAATTATGCACCCTCGGCTGGCACGCGAGGGTCGATCGTACGCTACGCTGGCTCCCAACCACCCTCATGTGCTAAACTAAACTAAACGTATATTACAATGATCGTGGCGCCGTTAATGGCGTAGCGCAGTTATAAGATGTTGCACAACCCGTATGTTTCCCTATTATGTGCTATATCGCGTACGACAGTCGCACATTAAGAAACCCGCCGGCTTTATTACGATCCAATGAATAGTAACAAAAATTTATGCGTTAATTATATTAATTAAATTGATTATTATTTAATATAATTTATATTATTGCCACGATATATTAGATATGGTATTACTTATTGTCGTCAGTTTTATAGTTATATACGTATATAATTAAAATACGTTATCGGTATTTTTTTTCAAGATCTCGGTAAGATCTCATCGCGCTGCTTAAAATTCCTCTTAATTGTATAAGTCCAATGTACAAAGAGCGTTTTATCTCTCCGCCAATTTATCTTCTTCCGTAATCTTATCACTCGTACGGCGCACGACACTTTCCTCAAAAATCTCCGAGCGTACTCCTTTAAAACTTCGTTATATCATTTATTGCCAGGAAGATTTCATAAAGAGCTTTTTTTCTTTATATATATATGTATATACTTTTCCAATATTTGAATGATATATTAATAAAAAATCATTTTCTCTCGACCATATACTTCTATTTCTGATTTTACGTTAAAAGAGAGAATATAACTTTGTCGCGTACATTTAATTAAATTATCGGGCGCGGTATCGGTTTGGTATTTCGATGAAATTTTTGACCGCGTGACACTACACACACATCTCGTGAAAAGAAATGAAAAGGGGCGTCTTCTCTCTACCAGGCGTCCTACTTTTTTCTCGCCTCGTTCCGTAACAACGAGGCTATCCCGCCTCTTCACCGGTCTCCAATTCAGAGCAGGTAATTCGGTTCTCGTCCGCCTCCGTGCATCCCCGACCGAACATTTGAATACGGACGAGCTCCAGCGAGACGTGGCAGGAAAACGAGAGACGGGAGAGATGGGAAGAGATGGAACGAAGTAGGCTAGGATAGGGTGGGCCGCCCAACCCTGCCATCCACACGTTTCCCCGACGAAATGACCTTCGCCAGTAAAAAGACGTGCCGGGACCGTCATCGTCTTCGTCGGCTTACGAACAGTCACCGTAACTCCCGAAACTTCTCTCGACGGAGTGAAAGCGCGTGGACGACGCGGGACGAGGTGGAGGAAGCGGAGGGTTTGTGGACCGTCACGGCGGGACGAATCGCGAGAGGGCGAAATACGCAAAGACGCAGACGGGCCCGTTGAGATTCGAGGATTTACCCGCGAAATAAAATCCGATACAGCCTCGTGAATATGTTGTTCTTGCTCACGACGCGCTTGCTCTCCCATGGGCGGGCGCGATCTTTTCCTCTGCGCCGCGCCGAGACACCGAGCCGCTATACGACATACGTACCCTCGACTCGGGCAGACAAATATTGCGGATCGGCACGTCACCGTAATTCCCCTCGACATTCTTACGATTACGGAATTACGCCAGATTTGCGATAACCTATTGATATCAGTTTAAGATCCGTGATTCGATAGGTCATGTCAAGAAATATGAAACAAATGCTTTTAGCAGAAGCAAAAATGCCTTTAAGATACAAGTACCTCGACAATAGCAATTTTTTTATAAATAGATTTCTGTTCTTGTTCTTTGTGTGACAATTATATTTCTATGATTATTTCCCAAGGATTAACGTCGATACATCTCGGTTATTAGTTGAAACGAGCGTTTTACCGAGACTCGTCACCTTTCACGTTTATACGTGCCGTAAAGTTTGCGCGGATCACGCGCTCAAAATATCAGGCGTCTGAGTAAGATAAAATGGCAATTAACATTAACTTGAGCAACGTGTCTCGCGAAGGGTAATAAAGATACCGGGCTGCGTATCTGCGCCATCATCGCAACCTTATCTCACGCATTGGCGTAACCAACATATTTGGCAGGTTTTACAAGAACTCCGCACCTTCGTTATTATCTCGTGTCGTCAACTCATGTAACCAAGGTCAGTAATTCATCCAAAGTAAGAAGCAATATTGGTAAAAAAATATTAACGACATTACAATGCTAATAATCATCGTTAAATACCGACTTTTAAAATTCTGAACAACTTGCTTCTGTCTTTATTTATCAAAAAGAATATTTTTCACCGATTTTTTCATGTTTAAATATGACCGACGTTAATCGTATATAAAATGTTGAATTTTAAATGTAATTCCTGCATGACGTTATTCTCTTCCGCTTCTCTGTACTTATTGTAGTCCATTGTGCAAACTATTGCACGCATACTATATTGTGCATATACCATCTAGAGTGGATCTCAGGTATGGTGTTATTTATTGCCGGTACGCGAGCTATCGCCCGTAGTGCCGTCGGCTCGAATCAAGCGACCCGTTCTCGAGTTCAACTTACTTTCAAAGTTGCTTCGACTGGCTCGTTCTTGTACCGAGAAACTCATTAGTGCGAAAATAAATGTGTTCTGTATTCTAGTAAATCGGATGGACAAGTTTTATATGAAAGACTACAATAAGTACGACTGATGTTTGTTATAAAATCGTTATATTCAATTTTTAAAATGTTAGTTCTTGCAAAATGCCTTTTTATATCGTGAATATTTTAAATTAGTGAATTTTCTTTTATTATATTTTTGTTGAAACTTGAAAATTATTTTATCGCGGACAAATAAGAACAATGAATATGTATAAAAGACCATAACTATCATTTAAAAATTAAACAAAATTTGTTTTGAATCAGCACTTTGATAAATTATTTTTTCGCTCTGTTTTAAGTGCTGTAACATCTGGAAGCCGACGTCGATCGGTCCATTTGGCGTTGATTGTTTTCGCGCATAGCAATCAGTAAGAGTGCGAAACGTTGTACTTACGTATGCACGCTGCCATAAAATCGAACTGTACTCGCATTTTCTCTCGAACGAAACTCTCGAGCGGCCCGACACCTCAAGTGATGAAATGAATACGACACGTTTCATCTGTAGAAAATAATAGGTCCTTTTTCATTACTAAATTTAAACAGTATAAATAAATTATATTAATCATAATATTTGAAATTCTAACACGGTAATAGCGATAAAAATTACAATTATGAGACACATTTATTAATTAATTAATTTAATTTAAAAAGAATTTGTAAAGAGATGTGAAAAAGATTTTTTATTAGTCTGAAAATTTCACGAGTTAAGAGACATTCAAAGCTAAGAGAAGATTTCTTACTTTTTTAAAAAAGAATATATTTTAGTTTTTTTTTTAAGAATATATATGCGAGTTTTACTATCAGTTTTGTAACCAATGTTTGTTTTAAGAATAAGAAGAACGCGCTCTGATTATTAAAAATGTTTTTCTATGCAAACTGAAAGTACATTGTCAAAATGCGTTTGTGGTTACGTTAACGGTTCGGATCGCCGGTAAGTGTTGTAGCACGCCTATAAAGTTGGTACGTCGCGGAGACCATGCATAGATGCATATAAGGATCAGCGAGGGTACTACATAATGCATCACCGCGATTCTCTCCTACCCCCATTGTGTGCGTGTGTGTCTATCCGGCGTATACGCCGCGGCATCGACTAACGTGTTTCAAATGGAGCCCTTTGTGGCTGCGGCGTCGGCGTCGAGATTGAATATAAACGCGGGAATAAGAAGCCATTTTATCACGCTTCCCGTTGAGCTTTTACTCTAGTGAAATTGAGGGCTTAGGGCGGGGGCTTAGAGAATTGGGAGAATTCTTCCTCGGCTTCGTTTGCCGCGAAAATGAAATGACGTTGCTTCGTCGGGGAGAGAACCGCTCCGCGTTTCTGCCCACGTTTAATTCTTATGGTAATCGTTAGCCACGCGCCTTCCGAATATTCTAGCTCAGCCCGACGTTACTTCGGTAAAAGCGAAGCGTTTTGCGAATCTCATGGAAATAAGCGCACGTTGAAATTTGCTGGTGCTTAACGAAGAAACGCTCTTAAAATCTGGAGGACAAACCGTGTTGATCTGGGGACAAATCGAATTGAATTATATTACTTTCGCGGATGGTGAATCTCGAACCATTCCTCAGAGTATTCTTTGTTAATCTTTAATTATAAATCTTATTCAAATAATTTGGGAAACGTGGATCATTTCGAAACGTCTGACATTTCGTTCGTAAATTATATATTTTACTGTGTACCGAGTGTTAAATCGAAATTCCGTAACACAAGTCCCGTGATGTCCTCGGTAGCGACGCAGGAGAAAAGGTCGAGTGTCAGGATAAAAAGAACGCGCATTCGACGAGCACGCACAAAACGGTGTCGTTAAGCGCGACTGACGCATCATGATTCAACGTTCTGTCGTGGAAGAGGATTCGAAACGGAGAGCCTGCACCTGCAGGGCACTTTGAAGTAAGGTAGGTAATCCCTGCTCGCACGACGGCGACTAAGCCTCCATGATTTAGAAGCTCTTGGAGTATTTTAAGAGTCCCCTTTGCTCTGCCACCCCCGAAAACAGCCGCTCGTATGAGCGCGTTCCGGCTTGTGTTT